ATTCTCCATTCATTCACTCATTCATTCATTTATTCATTCATTCACTCACATTCAATCTTCTGTGTGGTTCTCCATGTGTTTGGCTGGGTATTTTCTAGGCACCCCTGTTTCCCTTAACAGTCCAAAGATATGGGATTGATGTGGACTAGTGCTTCTAAATTGCCTGTAGTTGTATGTCAGTGTATGCCGTCAGTGGACTGACATTCTGTGTGAAGTGTGTCATCTGCTGTGTGCCCCATGTCTCCCACCATAACCAGAGGCCATTCTGGGGGCCCTAGGCAGAAAACGTCATGGGGCCCTCCAGCTCCCCCTCCCCCACATGGTCAAACTTAATACCTTTATTTTACTGTGAAGTGAAAGTTTATAATATCAACAATTTAATAAAAAACAAGAGCTTTATTTTCAGCAGATTTGTCATTGTAATGTACTATGTAATCGGCCCTGCTGGGGGCCCTGGCCTTTGCCTGCTCTGCTTGTCCTGTCGCTGCGCCTCTGACCATAACCTTGCATTCGATAAGCGACTGTGGAGCATATCATATCATCAGTCATTGTTGGCCATTGCTAATTTTACACTTATAGTGTCACTGTTGAAGAAGAAAAAAACAGCAAAACTAGGGCAAAGGTTATACAAGATGTCTTTCTGTAGACAATGTCATGAAAAATTGCCTCATTCTTTAAATAAAAATATTCTGTGGAAAAAAAATTAAAGGTTAATAGGGTTGGGATGATTATGGGATTGTTGTTCTGTCTTAAGCCTTAGGCAAGATGGTCACACTTTATTTGAGGGGACATGAATAATGTAGTAGTACATGCTTACGTAATGCATTAATTAACCAGTAACTAAGTGTTAGTTATGTACTGATCTAATGTTTGTTCATCATTAATCAATTATGAAGTTCATGTATTCCATTCAGGCACAGTTGTTACCCAAGTAGTTAATAATGGTAATTACTTAACTCATTTACTACTCAAGAACAAATCATGAACTAATCTAGGTTTCCCCATGAAATATGTGAGCTGTCATGATTGATTAATGATGAATGAACATGGGATCAGTACTTAACAAACACTTAGTTACTTGTTAAATCATGCATTAAGTAAGCAAGTACTACTACATTATTCATGTCCCCTCAAGTGTGACCGGCAAGAATATGTTGGATTAGGGGATTGTTGTTCTATTTTAGGCCTTAGATAGAGGGACTGCAGTGTATTGACAAAGTTATGTGTCAATTTTTAATCACAAACATGGTAATATTTCTAAGACCAATGTACAGTTATTGTATCTTATCTGATTAATGTCACGTAAGATATAGGTGGGTCTATTACTAAGGTAATTTTGGTTAAGTATCCTTAGTGATAAACCAGATTGTAAACTGTAAGTACGTCAGCCACATAAAATGATCAGCCCAGTTACAGTGCTGAGAACCACCGAATAATTCTGAGAACCATAATCATCAGCTGGGTTTGCATAGTATAGTAGGTCAGAACACAGGGTACTAAGCAAGGTTCTGAACCCCACCTGCTACAACGAACTGTTATTTACATTTTTAGAATCTTTTTTTTCTTTTGAAATAAAAGTGTCAGCTTAAAGACAAAATGTCCCCCCTGACCAAGGCTGCGGGTTTGGTATCAGCATTGGTAGGGACCAAATCATCCCAAAACCCCCAAACACACACAGTACTTCCACAATATTGGAACAACTAACATGTCCCTGCCACCCGCACCCACATCTATGTCCATCTGTGACTCTTTGCTATTCTATTCCACGATCTACATTTCCCTTGATGTAAGCAGGCCTTGCTGAATGATCAGCAAGATGTAGCGTTTCTACAGTCCATGTGACAGGGCAGTCAAAAAACATGGGCAATGAGAATAACAGGCAGCCCCCCCGTACACGTTGTTGTAAGAGATCACCTACTTCTAACATCTCCTGATTGCTCACAGAAAGACTCTCTTGTGATATCTCCTGACATTTCTCCTCTCCAGTCCGCCTTTTCCTCATAGCCTCATAGCGTTACCGTGCGGGCAACCCTGCGCTTGGCCCACGGTTACAAAACCATGTGGGAAGAATGATGCACGTTAGCACATCGCTGGAATGCCTTAGGGTTAAACCTGCACAGTGATGAGGGCACAACATATGGAGCAACATCAGTGCTGACACCACAGGGGGGTGGCAATGATAAAAGTTGATGGGGGGGGTGGGGGCTGTTGGGTAGGCAGATAATCTGTGGCCACGCCCCTGGGGGAGACTGGGCTTATTTGTTTGTAGGAAAAATGCCTTTATTAAAAAATAAGATTAAATAAAATATGATGTCCTTGGTGGGTGGTGTTTGGGGGGGGGGGGGTGCATGGCCTGTAAACACCACCCCCCTAAATGCCAACCTTGACTAACATCCTTCCACCCATCCTTTCTGCAACCTCTTATGCTGTAGGGCTACAGAGTCAAAGGGCAGCTACATAAGGCCCAATATTCAGTGTCTCATATGCAGGTTTTCTGCTTAGCGATACTTATGCCATGAAAATTTATGAGGAAACACTGCACCTTCAACATACCTTGCTGTGTTCTTTTTATGTCAAATCTGCATTACTGTGTTTGGCAAGCAGCTATGTATGACTAAGTAAATGATACAAGTATCGAGTATCAGGTGTATTTTGCGTTTAGTAACTATAGCTAGACTTGTAACCGAGATGTGACTGGTCATGAAAAGCCCTTTCTCTAGCCGGTTGACTCAGCCTTTCAACTGAGAAAAGGCTACGGCGTGTGAATACCTCAGACTTCATTTCTTAACAGACGTAACTGGCCTTTGTTATCGAAAATGTAGTAAATATTTTAAAGGCCCGAAATCCTTATTCGCAGCGATTGCTTTTAAGTGGACAGTTGTCACATTCATGAGTGAAAGGGCAGCTATAGTATCGTGGCTATTCTGAGTTGCCAATTTTGGTCAGCTGGCTGGCGTGAGATTTTCAATCCGAGACAAGTCTGCACACGCGTGCACATGCGTCTACATGTATGTAACAGTTTTATTACCTTGTAAATAGTCTGCAGGGTTTCCAAACTACCCCAACACTTTTCGTTTTAGGTTTATAATGGAATAATATAGATTTGCCATGTTGATTTCTTGCGTGAGAGTCCGAAGGTGTGAGTGTCATGCCAGATGCGTGAGAGTCGGTGACCCTGCTGTTGTGGTCAAGGACCTAGAAGAGCGGGACCATGGAGGTGCGGCAGAGCGGCTCAGCCCTGCAGATGGTGCAGACGGGAGCAGGCGGGCAGATGTGCAGCAGCCGTGCACTTCGTTTGAAGTGAAAATGTGGTTGTGGAACATGTGCTCCTCATCCAACCAGGACAGGCGCACACACACAAGCGTGAGACCCGTCTAACAAACTCAAATTGCATGCATTAAAGGTAGAGGACTTAAACACTCGCTTGAACAATCGCTTTTGTTGAACCCAGCTTACGTTCTCATGTGGTTACGTAAGATTGTTCCCGCTGAAACTTTGCCCGACAGAAACATCAACTGCCCAGAGCGCAAACAAGTTTCCCTTACAATAACACAATGGACTGCCCCACTCAACGCAGGGTCCCTCTCTTAACCAAAAAATATATATGTTACTGTCAATTGGCAGTTAGGGAAGAACCATTTCAATAAATAATAAGGGGGAAAAAAGTCACAAATGATGTCATGACTGAAGGGTGAGCCAGATGTTAGCTGGGGAAGAAAAATTTTTACATTGCAAAGAAGGATCGACGGAGGCGAACACACCTTGATTCACTTCTAGCGAGCTCTTTTTACGGCAAAGAGCTGTTGATTTAAAGTCATAACAATGAAAGCTGAAACACGCTGATTAAAAAGATAGCATCATGTTTCCCTTGCTACTGAAAATTCCCAAACATTCTAGTAATTCATTATTATTTATGTGCCAGAAACATGTCGAGGATAATTGGAGCTACCAAATTGCCCGTAGATGTGCATGTGTGAGTGAATGCAATGGGCCCTGCAATGGGTTGGTGCCCCATCATGAGCTGATCCCTGTCTTGCACCTGTAGCTCCCAGGATAGGCTCTGAACCCCCCCCCCCCGTGATCCTCAATAGGATAAGCGGGTACAGAAAATTGATGGATGGATTATTTAAGTAAAAGCTCCATCTCTATCTTGACAGAGTGTGTGTGTGTGTGTGTGTGTGTGTATAGTTGGTGACTGCCTGTGTGTGCGACACAGTCGGACATGATTGGGTCCCGTTGGCGCTGTTTTGGCCGAGTGAGCGTGAAGCTAGCCAGTAATATTGAGTTCTCTCATTGGGCTGTATGTCACCTGTCACCTCTGGTCATGCCAGTGTGTTCCAGTGCCGAAGGTTCACTGGCCTAGCCTGGCACTACTTTTTTTTTGCCATGGCTTGGTGTGTATCCATCTTTATATGCATGTGTTATGCCACTCTGATTCACTGATTAACTGCAAGCATCTCTATTCTAGATCATGGATTTTATCTGACAGTATTATTATAGATTGTTGTACCACATGATTGGTTAGAAATCCCATAAAGTCCCATCAACAGACTAATTATGCTGCATAAACTGTATATTTATTATGATTTTGGTATAGCTAGGGGGGGAACATGGCAAAGTCCTGTTGAATTCCCCAAATTCTTAATCCTACTTTTTAATATAAAAATATTTTGTCCGTGGATCTTCTCCCAGAAACATTATTTTGTATTTTTATTGGTCAGTCCCATAACATTTTTCACCAAGTTAAGATAGAACTCTTATTGTCCGCACAAATGTTATATTTAAAGCCCAGAAAACACATGGTACTGTCATTTCACCTTTGTTCAGTTATAATACAGTGACGTTCAAGTGCTCAGTGGCATCACTCTTCATCCAGCGCTTTATTCTTTGACCAGGAAACACCAACTGTCTCGTAGCTACTGGCCAAACTTAAAATAATCAGATATGACTGATGGGCTGCAGCTGAATGGAACAGTTGTGCCTTTGGCCAGGTCCCTCTACCCAGCTGCCGACAGCCGTGAGCTGGGGGGTGGGGGGGCGCAGGTCTTTGCCTTTCACCAGCTGTCACGCACACCGGCCTTTCAATGCCTCTTTCAGCTTCCGTCTCTGCCCCGACGAAGGAGGAACACAATTCCTTCTCACTCGTGCGGTTTCTGCAAGCAGGTGAGGCAGCAGAGTCCACTGGGCTCATATTTATAATAAAAAGGACACAAAATAATCAGTTTGACTGTGTTACCTGAGATCTGAGCTATTAAAATCCTAAAACAAATTTACTTAAATACCATCGCAGGCAGACATAAATGTTGATCATCACAGAAAATTAATATACACGAAAAGTTTGACCTTTTCTGTTACTAGATATCAAGACCATAGCCTTGCAATCAACATTGGGGGAGGCCAAACCTACCAAGGTAATTATAATACGTGTCCCCCCCCCCCCAATATGTATTACAATTACAGCCTTGGTAGAGATATATATATATATATATAAAGAAGACATGTTTTCAGCTCTGCGTACAGATACTCAGAAAACTGATGCAGGGTGTGACACACTGGCGAATGCCAGCCAGGAAAAACGATTGGGCGTTTCGAAGAATTTTCCAGTTCTTACGAGCTATTTTAGAAAATAAGGAAATAAAGAACTGAACAAACCGAACCCATTTTCAGCAATAAATCTGCACATTGTTTCAGGTCTCTTGCAAAACAGTCTGATTTGTTCTCTCCTCTTCTAAGCCACAGTGACTTTTTTGGTATTTTGTGTTTATTTTATGAGGTAGCAAAGAACATAGTGTTTGAGAAAAAACCCGTGTGTTATAACTGATTCAATTTTATTTGAAGTTTACATTCTCTGTAGGATGGAGCATTTTAAATTCTTTTGTCCAGGTGTTTAGAATCGTTAGGCAGAAATTGACCTTCCATGGCCACTGAAAAACAAAATAGTTTATGCAAGGTCTCTGTTGACAGAACTGTGAAGTATTTCACAAATTCGATAAGCAGTTTATAACTTCCTGCTGCACACTCGCCTGTCCAGTATGTGGTGAAACTTAAATTTTTGTCATAGAATCGGCCTTAACAAAAGAAGGGAAATAGTCAAGGATGTTTCAAAATTCAGGTATGCTCTGTTTACTGAAAGCTAAATGAATGCTTCGCGTATAAGCAGGGATGCACATAACTGGTACTTGTTAACCTTTAAAAGCGATACGTGTGCCAATTGATTGTTGTAACAGCGCAAATGCGTATGCATTTTATGTGAAGAAATTAACGTGCATTTTAACCTTTATACCGCAAATGAAGTACGATTTAGCATAATGAGGTTTAAATGCACAATAATTAATTTTATGTGCATTTGTGCTACTACACAATCAATTGCTCCATGTATCGCTTTTAAAACAAAGGGAGCCGAATTAATTGAAATTTTTAGTTCAGATACCATCCCATCTACACGATGTCATATGGCCAGAGCGCAGAGCTTAGTGTTGGTCAGAACCATTCCTGTGGAATCAGGGTTGAGCCAGGGGACTCCCCAGCTGTTAAGGGTCTTCTGCCGTTTGCTTGTGGGATTGACATTTGGGATTATGGGGGTGGAACACAGGTGTCCAGCGACGTGCACGTGTGTCACAGATGGCCATGAGTACATGTCACAGTGATAGATTCAGCTACCGCTATGGACAGCCATTCCCACGCAGACACACACAGGCAGCAGGCCTAGTTTGTTAATATCAAACGTAACTGTGATATTGCCGCATTCTTTGCCTGTCTCACTCCCTTATGTTAGACTAAACGTTTCCTGTGAAAATACATACATTATTAGCTAATTTCTGCAATAAGTTGAAAAAATGTCTCCAGTGAGTTGTAAATTGTGCTCACTACAGAGTGTCACACCCTCGTGTCTGGAGTACGTGCTGAATTCAGATGCGCATAATCTGGACGACACCCATGATCCAGCCTGGTCTGTTCCATGATGTTCTCCTTGAAGGACCACACCGGCCTGCAAGGCTGGTTAGCCAAGGTGAGGTCTCTCCAGGGTGGCTTCTCTACCCCTCACTGACAATGCTTTTGTGTTGCATAACAGAAATGCTCTGCCCCCCCCCGCCCCCACCCCACCCCACCCCACCCCACCCCCCACAGTCTGCCTGCAGGCACCCAGCAACATAACTTCCAGCTGTTCAGGTGAACATAAAGACAAGCGTATAGAATTCCACAGATGCTGGCCGAGATACAAAAGGCGGTTTCATTGCCCTACTGATGTAATTTCTTGGTGGGGCCTTTTTTTTTGTTAACAAAACAGCATACCTCAAGAACCTACAATGCTCCTTTTTAGATTTCCACAGACCCCAGGCTAATAGAGAACGCGTAACTATGCAATCCTTTCACAACACGGAGATGCGCATTTCCAGGATTTAAAGCGGTGTGGCTACGGCTGTTGCGGCCAAGCACTTCTGGGGCGGACACTTCCAGCACCAGCTGTGCATGTGCAGCTTGCATGTTCTCCCCATGTTTGTGTGGTTTCACTCAGGGTGGCTCTGGTTTCCTCCCACAGTCCCAAGACATGTGGTTTAGGTGAACCGGCGTCTGAAAATGACTCTTATTTTGTGTGTGCTTGCTCCCTATAATGGTCTGGCATCCATTCTGGGATAGGCTTCAGGCTGGGATAGATAGTTACAATCGTAAAAATTTATAGCTGAGCAGTCGGGATTACAATAATCATGCTCATCGTCGTACGAAATGTTTGATATTTCCATCAGTTTTGCCTTTAGAGTTTATTTTTATAGTCAATGGTGGAACTTCAATGATGTGTTGACAAAAATAACCCTACAGACAAAAAGAAAAACAGAATAAACCAGTAGCAACGTCTGCATATAACCGTCACTTACTGGATTGTCAGACTGGCCACGGGAACACCAGCTAACCTAGTGATTAAGGGCCTGGCCTTGTAACCTGAAGGTTGCCAGTTCCCGTCCCAAAAGAGGCCTGGTTATAGCACACTTCAGTGAGACATTTGACCTGAAATACTCCAGAGAATTAACCTATTGCATAAATGGGCTAAAAGAAAGAATGAAATATGCAAATCTGATGCAGAGCAGCAGCCTGGATGTGTAGCGCAAGGGGGGATGTTTGCATAAATGTGGTAAGTTTAAGCTCCCATTTACGGGTCAGCTACCTCATGGCTGCGCTAACTAGGGATAGTCAAGTGTGTCTGTTCATGTAGGATCTCTCTGCCGGAATGTCACAGCCCTGAGTGACACAGGCTCTTCAAAAGGAAGAGGAAGGAAAGGTGCGATAATTGCACCGCAGGTATAAAGTGCTAGATTTTTTTTCTCAGTGGAAGGTGCCGCGTAATTGTGCAAAAATGCCATGAATGTGGTGTTTTTTTCCCCCGACGCATCAGAACTGCTGATAAGGGAGGGAATGTAGCACGTCTGGCGTGTCACGCAGATTCGGGGACCGCGGAGCCGACCGCAGGTGCTCACGCACATAGTCTAGGCTGCCGGTTATCAACTAGCGCTGAGTTCGCTGGACTCCCCATTCCGGGCCGCCTATAAACCCCACAAGTATCTCATTTCACAAAGGCAGATTCTTTCACAGCCCTGGGCACCAGCTCCCTCTGTAAATGTAGATTGGTCACTACTGGCTTTGCTCGGTACAGAAATATGATGCCACTCAGACCCAGAGCTCGTCGCAGCCTTGGCGACTGCCCTGCGGGCTTCAGGCGATGAACACTCAGGGTGATCTCTTTCTTAGCATACGAGAATTTCTGGGTATCAGGTGTTGTGGTCTCCTCTTTTGCACTGCCACACGGATTCGATGCGCTCCCACCATTTTATTCTCAGTCTCCGCTTTGACAATCTCCCTCAGCGACTGACCGGGTCACGGTGAAGAATAAAAGCCAGACTTACTTTGAATACATGCTTATGACGAATACATGCACCGTCACTCCCAGAATCCCAGAATGCAATGCGTTGGGGGCAGACCATCGTGCTGCTGCCCTAGAACCACTTTGTTTTCATTTCCTCCCCACCCACCGTGTGTTGGTGCTCCACAGGGTCACAAATGCAGTGCTAATCTGGGTGCTTGAGCACAATCTCGTACAGGAAAATGTGGCAAAGTCAGTAACAATACGCGGGACGAAGCCCTTGCTGATGATGCGATCCCGTCTGGCTTGCTGATTGATTTAACCCAAAACATCCAAGCATAACGACAGAGGTGCGAGCTGTGATTGTGGGCTGCTGGAGTGTGTACTGTCACTGTCCTTTGTCCCTTTTACCGCTCACATCTTATGTAGCTGTTTAGACAGTGGTTTAGATATCATTGCTGCCATCAGCATCTTCATTCCCCCAGTCTGTCAGCCTTAATAAACCAGTTGGACACTTTTGTCCATCGTCGGTATTGCGTTGGTGTTGGTATTACCTACTCTTCAATAAATATATGTTAGAAGCAGTTTTTTAAAAGGTGTATACCTTGTATTTGGGGGTGGGGGGTGGGGATTCTGGATTAGGACAGCAGACCATAATCACTGAAATACCAGTCCTATTAATCCCCGAAAGGACAAATTGTTATTCACTGCTGAGTAATGGCATGAATCAGTAAGAAAAATATTAACATATATTATTAATGATAGTAACATTAAATGTAACAATATGTAAAGAACAATCTTAAGTTTTTCAGCTGAAATCTTAACAAGAAGAAAACAACTACGCTGCACAGGGTTCTGCTGTCATTAAAATATGACATTTTCTGTTAAATTCATATTGCAACTGTAGAGGATAATGGTGCCCCTTCAGTCCATGATTTACAGGAATTAATATGAATCTAACCACAGGGTTGTGAAAGAGCTTCAGTTGTTCAATCCGTATAAAACTTGACAGGACAGGCATAGAGCTAAACTCTGTCCACCTTTTATTCCACTGAATAAATCACAATGCCCGGCTTCCTGTTCTAGCATGGAGTGTCACATACACTACTATTTATGGAAGATAACTTATTGTCAGCAAACATAAAAGATTCATTAGTAGACCAGAAATGATATGTCATTGTATGTATCCGTATCATTTGGCTGAAATTGGCTTTCATTTTTTGGTATGGTTACACCGACCAGCCGACTGCATGCGCTGTTATCTGAGTAACACTGCATTTTTTAGCTAACCCAAACATCCGCTACTGACGCTTACACCGTTACTTTTTGCTGTGTTTTGAAAAAATATAATAAAAATGAACCCTAAATTTAGCGCGCACAGAGGCGCGCATCCCGTCCGAAGGCGCGGCCCCTGGTATAACAATGCGGTCATTCTGCCGGGAAACCCCAGCGCCGTCCACGGCGCGGCGCGCGGCGAGATTGCCTTATATGGTATTCACGGCAGGCGCGAGCGTGATTGGCCGGTTCTCGAATGACACCGGAGCCTCGCCGGCGCGTCTGCAGAGGCAAATAAACAACACCTGTCCCGACATGCAAAGGCGGAGTGCGGGAGGCGCCCCGCACCACTGCCCACCGACACGGCGGCCTACGTTGTTAACCCCTTCCCCTCCGGCGCGCATTGTATTATGCTGTGTCCTAAACATGAAAAACCAGATATACTATGCATGCTTTAACAATACTTTAATGATTTAACACTGACAAAAAAAACTTAAATCGTGTCACTAATGATTGATATAGATCACTTAGACATGCACAACAACTATAATGAGTATTTTTTTTCCAAGTACCTAAAATAACATTTATAATGATATTTGCCAAAACCATTCATTCATTTCTGTCATGATGGGGGTCCGAAGCTTATCCCAATATCACAGGATGGGGCACCAAACTATCAAAGGACACTATTCACATCACCTACTGAAATTTGGTTACCAAAATTCTTTGTTGATAATATCTTATACAAGTATATAAACTTATAAATTTATTTAAATCTTGGGAAGTATCTAAAATGGAATGCTTAAATAATCAGGTTTGGCAAATAAAACTATTATTTTAAAATATATAAATGAAAATAATTATGCTCTGCTGCCATCTACTGTTCATATATGGTTTCATCTTCCATAGTTGCATATCAAGTACAAACCAAAAGTTACTGTAAAAACAGCTTCCTGCACAAAACTGACTTCTTCGACGAAACTACTTTAATAGACCTTTTTATAGACAGCATAGTTGAACAAAGTCAGTTATACTGACTTTTAACACCATTCCAGCATGTTGGCTTGTATTCATTGAGAGCGCAAAGAAGTATTAAAATTATGTAACCCAAGAAAGTAACAATTTGATAACTAAAAAATGCAAGCAGTTAAAACATCCTAAATAAGGTGTTTAAGAGACCCATCATGATGAATAAAATAGTGGGATCACAGTGTCCCTTGCCTGGACGCGGGTCACCGGGGCCCCCCCCCTAGAGCCAGGCCTGGGGGTGGGGTTCGATGGCGAGCGCCTGGTGGCCAGGCTTGTACTCATGGGGCCTGGTCGGGCACAGCCTGAACAAGGCACATGGGTCCCCCCTCCAATGGGCTCACCACCCATAGGAGGGGCCATAGTTCCGGCTAGACATAGTCGGGCTCACCTCGACACACAGCTTGGGCTCTGGAACCAGTCTTCTCGAAGGGGGTTGGACCCCAACATCAACACTGTTTATGGTGGGAATGGGATGCTGCTGACCTCAACTCGGGACGTTTTGGGTTGGTGGATGGAGTACTTCGAAGACCTCCTCAATCCCACCGACACGCCTTCCAGTGTGGAAGCAGAGTATGGGGACTTGGGTGTGGACTCCCCTATCTCTGGGATGGAGGTCGCTGAGGTGGCCGAGCCCCAGAGGTGGATGAGATCCGCCCGGAGTACCTTAAGGCTCTGGATGCTGTGGGGCTGTCCTGGTTGACACGCATCTGCAGCATCGCGTGGACATCGGGGGCAGTGCCTCTGGACTGGCAGACCAGGGTGGTGGTCCCCCTCTTTAAGAAGGGGGACCAGAGGGTGTGCTCCAACTGTAGGGGGATCACACTCCTCAGCCTCCCTGGTAAGGTCTATTTGGGGGTTCTGGAGAGGAGGGTCCACCGGATTGTCGAACCTCGGATTCAGGAGGAGTAGTGTGGTTTTCGCCCCGGCCGTGGAACAGTGGGCCAGCTCTATACTTTCCGCAGGGTTCTGGAGGGTTCATGGGAGTTTGCCCAACCAGTCTACATGTGTTTTGTGGACTTGGAGAAGGCATTCGACCGTGTCCCTCGGGGAGTCCTGTGGGGGGTGCTCCGGGAGTATGGGGTGCCGGGCTTCCTTTTAAGGGCTGTTTGGTCCCTATATGACCGGTGCCAGAGCTTGGTCCGCATGGGCGGCAATAAGTCGGACTTGTTTCCAGTGAGGGTTGGACTCCATCAGGGCTGCCCTTTGTCACCGATTCTTTTCATAGTTTTTATGGACAGAATTTCTAGGCGCAGCCAGGGCGTTGAGGGTGTCCGGTTTGGTTACCTCAGGATTAGGTCTCTGCTTTTTGCAGATGATGTGGTTCTGTTGGCTTCATCAGACCGTGACCTTCAGCTCTCGCTGGGACAGTCCACAGCTGAATGTGAAGCGGCTGGGATGAGAATCAACACCTCCAAATCCGAGACCATGGTCCTCAGCTGGAAAAGGGTGGAGTGCTCTCTCCGGGTCGGGGAGGGGGTCTTCCCTCAAGTGGAGGAGTTTAAGTACCTCGGGGTCTTGTTCACGAGTGGGGAGACGATGGAACGGGAGATCGATAGGCGGATCGGTGCGGCGTCTGCAGTGATGCGGGCGCTGCATCGGTCTGTCATGGTAAAGAAGGGGCTGAACCAAAAGGCAAAGCTCTCGATTTACCAGTCGATCTACGTTCCTACCCTCACCTATGGTCACGAGCTGTGGGTAGTGACCGAAAGAACGAGATCACGAGTACAAGCAGCCGAAATGAGTTTCCTCCGCAGGGTGGCTGGGCTCTCCCTTAGAGATAGGGTGAGGAGCTCAGTCATTTGGGAGGGACTCAGAGTAGACATTTCAGGGACTCCCCATGCCTGCATTCCCACCTGCCTCTCCCTCCTACTTATGCTGCCATAGCCATATCTGCCGGAGCATTGCACTTCATATTGCACTCATCTAACTTTTAGCACTGCCTATAGTCTCCCTTACTTTGACTAATTGCATTTATTTCCACCACCTTCTCCTGGGGGGTGCTGCCTGGAGCCCTCAATCTATCAAGATGTCAGCACACCCTGCCACATGTGACGTCGCCACTACCAATGACGTCTGTGCATCCAGCTCGCCGTTCTGCCTGTGTCATCTACCTTGTATGACCCGCTCCCTGCCTTCTGGCTGCCTGGCGATTGGAGGGAGCGTTGGCACCGGCTTGTCATCTCCCCCCTGCTCCCCGTTTGTGTTTCAGATTTAACTGTATTTGACTCTCCCTGCCGGCCCCTGGAGGATGGGCTCCCCCTTTGAGTCTGGTCCCTCCCAAGGTTTCTTCCTTCTAGGAAGTTTTTCCTTGCCACTGTCGCCTATGGCTTACTCACTGGGGGCTTTGGGAGGGGATGCTGTAAAGCGCTTTGGTACAATGTAATTTTGTGATAATGCGCTATACAAAAATAAATTTGTTGTTGTTGTTGTAGAGCCGCTGCTCCTCCGCATTGAGAGGAGCCAGATGAGGTGGCTCGGGCATCTGGTCAGGATGCCTCCTGGACGCCTCCCTGGTGAGGTGTTCCGGGCATGTCCCACTGGGAGGAGGCCCCGGGGAAGACCCAGGACACGCAGGAGAGACTATGTCTCTCGGCTGGCCTGGGAACGCCTCGGGCTTCCCCCAGAGGAGCTGGATGAAGTGGCCTGGGAGAGGAAAGTCTGGGTCTCCTTGCTGAGACTGCTGCCCCCGCGACCCGACCTCGGATAAGCGGGAGAGGATGGATGGATGGAAGATTTTTATACTTTTTATCAAAGTATAAAAAACTAAAATGATCTCTTTGCTTAAGGGAGTTAAAAGAACAATAAGATGTGCTTAACAGATAAAGGATTCCTGCATGAAAGGCATGCAGGTGGGTTACTTAAACAGAGAGGGGATACACTTCAATATATTTCTACCACTGTTAGTGTGAATAATATTAATATTGGCATATTTTCCATCAAGCAACATCTTGACTACAAATGCAAAGGGCATAACATCATTTAACTTGAGTAGATCTATATATATATAAAAACACACCTACAAAAATGACAAAACATTCTATACGTCCTTCTGGACATCCTGCTTTCTGGACTGATGTTTGTGCGCCTAACACACACCGCACTACTGAAATGGCCCAACCAAACGTCTTTGGAGAAAACTACAGGAGAAAACTGGAATACCAAGGGGAAACCTGCATGCCACTGGGTGAATAAGCAAACTTCACATTCATGCAGGTAGGATTCAACCCTAAAGGTATGAGGGCACGGCCTGAGACTCCATTTGGTCCAGGGGCACCAGACTCAGACCCCTTAACCTGCATTCACCTGTACATGTGTGTGTGTCTCATGAAAAGCAAGATGGGACACAAGGACAACCTCCTCACAGAGATGAGCAAAGAACCACCGTTACATTCCAGACCAGCACCAGGACGTCCAAGATTGAAAACACACACAACATACTTTAAGGCACTTTTAATAGGAAAATCTGCACTGCCAAACACGGTATTGCTGACAGCTCCACCCAGATGAAACGCCCCCCTCTGATAAATAACCATAAAATACAGAAGGATAACTAACCCCCCCCCTTCCTCACGCCCCCCCCCCCACC